GGATATTCCTTCCTTCAGACGGGGATGTATTAGAAGGAGAAGGAAAAGGAAAAGGAAAAGGAAAAGGAAAAGGAAAAGGAAAAGGAAAAGGAAAAGGAAAAGGAAAAGNAAAGGAAAAGGAAAAGGAAAAGGAAAAGGAAAAGGAAAAGGAAAAGGAAAAGGAAAAGGAAAAGGAAAAGGAAAAGGAAAAGCCTACTTTGCAATCTCAACTAGAAACCAAACTAGAGCTTATTTTTATCACACCTCAATTTCCACAGCTTTTTATTCAAGCCTTATCTTTTTCTTTAAATAGAAGCTTTCATCTCAGAGGATCCCAACTACTCCCTACACTTTTGTTTCTTCACAGAAATTGAAGAAAAACTTGTTTACAGTGTACTGGGAAGCTGTGCTGCAACCATTACAGCACCAGCTGCACAGACATCACTCACAGCACTGCAGTTGCTTGGGTGGCTTTGAAAACCTCTTGGGTCTTCTTCTGTGTCAAAACCATGTTTTTAGACTTCCAAACAATGTCTCTGCATTTTGTATCTCCCTTTGACTTCACTTTAAAACCTCTGGTAGACGATGGTGGTTTCATGAGGGAGGTTTCTTGTCTAGGTATGAGCCTTACCTGAGGCTTCCATACATAGAAATGTTCTACTTCACCTGCAGCTTGCAGGTGTTGATGTTGTGTTAGGCTGTGCAAGAACTGCTGAATTCATGTTTCTCAACACTTCTTGGAAAGCCTGAGATGACAAGAATCATGTGAAGCAGGAGCTGAAATGGGGCAGAGCTGAGCTTTCTTAAATATTTCAAATATTCAATCACTCAAGCAGCAAGCTCTGGTTTTGGGATGGCCAAGACCAAGGAGGAGGTCTATCACATTTCATTGCTTTTTCAGAATTCTCTTTCAGTTTGTGGTGGGAGAGGGATAAGGAGTAACCCTGTGAGTTTAGATGTTCTCTCAGCCAACGTGGGAAATGTGTTAATGGGCTCCAAAATTTCTCCCATGCCAGGGCTGGGTGTCTTACTCCAATTCTGCCTGCAGAAGGAAATTACTTCCAGCAGCCTTTCCCCAGTCACTCATTTATCTGCTTTAGGGGGTGAGAAGGCAGCCTTGGAGAAGCAGCTAAAATTCTTACATCTTCTTTCTCCCTCCCCTTTTCTTTCTGTCAGTGATCCCTGACATTTTGAAATCAGATCTGATAAATAAGTGCAAGGTATCTTGTAGGTTGGCTATTTTTACAAAACAATCTTTTTTTTTTTTTTTTTGGTGTAGCTAGATAGCTGGTTGTAGAAAATGAAGTTATTTCAAGGCATTAGATATAGAAATATCCCCCACTCCGTATTTTCCCACCCAAAGAGTTCCACAGCTCCAGTAAGAAGGGAATAATTGAGTATCAGGGCTCAGTGGGGTAGAACAGAAATAGTTTGCTTGTAGCTGTGGGTCTGGAAGACCTGGTTCTGTGACACACCAGTCAATGCCATGTTTCATAGGATGAGGTAAGAGGCCACGGAAATCTTTCTTGTTTCCTTGCACCACGAGGCATGAAATCTGATTAGTCCTGTCCTCTTATAATTGTGATTTACAGTCCTAAGGCTGGCAGTGTGTTCCCAAAAGACCACCTGCACCCATGTGACACACTGACTGAGAGTGTGCTGGAAAGGGTTTTCCCAACCCTTCAGAAACAGAAAGAAATGAAATCCAGTGTCCTTGGACACCAACTTCTGATTCAATTCCAGGTGCCCAACTGAACCATTCTCCTCGAGGGCATATGTGCCCCACGGAGGAAAATCAAGGTCCTGCCATTGACTGTGGCAGTAAATACAAGCATTTCAGAAGAACAGCTTTTCTGAACACCTAAATTGTAAATGCAAAGTGATTGAGTTAAATAGACCAAATCCTATGACATGGGCTTAGCTCCCATCCAGTGTGGCAGTCTTGTCGTGAAGGAAAGGAGTCCATAGTTCACACATAATAAAATATATATGATCCCATATTCCACCCACAGTAAAATATATATGCACACATAATAAATATACAAATGTTGTGTATGTGAGTGTCCAGGTTTGGTAGCTGAAAAATAATCCTTGAATGTGGCTACATGTAGCAATGTCTGGAAGGATGGTTAAATTAACAGACATTTAATTGGGGCATTTAATGACAACCTCTTAAAGTTTGGGTTTTCAAATAATTTAGAAATAACATTGTCTACTGAATTTTTGCCAGGTTATTGAGGTAAATTGGAAATTTACTGTGGAAATGGCCATTGTCCATCGGTGGGAAATGGCCTGCTGAATGGAGATAACAAGGGGACTTAACCTTGTAGCCTCTGGCTGGCAAACCCTAATTAAAATGCAACCCCATCCTCTCTGTGGAATGCTGCTTCCAAATGCTCAAATTCAAGCTGCATAACCTCATTCATCAGGCATTCCCCTTGCCCAAAGAACAAGTTTCTTTCAAATTAGTACAGAGATCTGCTACAAAGGTCTTTTTGCTCCGTGACAAAGGCAACGAGACCCATGCAAATGGTTTTGGGCTGAGGAGTGAGGAGGAAGGCTTTGCAGTGGTGTTGGGTGCTGAAAGTACCCAACAGCTGAGCCCTGTGGTTATAAAGAGAGAAAGCTTAAGGGAGGGGAGTCTGCTTTATCTTGAGAGGAATGCAGCCTTATTTCTCTGCTGATTCACATTTCTTTTGAGACCTGCTAATTGCAACATCTCTCAGTAAGTTACTTACAGCAGAACTGCTGGGGAGAAATTGTGATAAATGCATAAACTGTGTCTTACTGATTTTTGTTGACATTATACATGCTTCTCATGCATTTGAAACCTCCATTCAGTAATTGTCACTATAGTACACACTCCTGCATAGTGAGAGCCAAAGAAGCGAATGAAGCAGTTTTTGGCCATTATCAACAATATTATTCAAGGCTCTGTATGGGGTTCCTTGCCTGCCCTCCAGTATATCTCTTATTTGTGCTCATCCCCCACTGAATTTGCAAGACAAGAAAAGAATAATGCTGATAACAGAAATGGTATTAAGAAAGATTACTTTGAGACTGATGGTAAATTTAGGCCTCTTCAATTTTAGTGCACAGCAGCAATATGGAATCTAGGAGAAGTACTGTAGATTATTTGCCCTTCTACTGCACATTTTGTCTAGATTTCTGTACAGAAAGCTGGTTTGTTACATCGTATTCTTTGACAGAAATTTGTTGCTGAACAAGACTAGTATAGCATTATGTAGTGTGGCTAAACAGTAGTGAGACATCATCAGCTGTTTTGTTACCTAAGAAATACAGAGAGTCACAATGCTCTGGTGAAGTTTGGGTAAAAGAATTCTGATTTCTGATTTTATGATGCTCATCTATTAGCCAGAGCTACAGACAGCTTAGGTTGTCTTGAATCAAGGACCTTTACATTAAAGAGAAAAAAAATACCGCATGATGCAAAAATGCATTGACTTTATTTTCATGACTAGATGTAGTGCTTTTGGGTAATGATCAGGCATTGCTTTCTCTTACTGTTGTTTGATTAAAATGTGAATACAGTCTTGACTTGATAATCTTACCAGGTACACACAGAGCTAAAATGAAAAGGTGTTCTATGCCTCAAATTGATTTGCATAAACCAAACAATCTGTTGCTTGCTGGATTGCAAAATGGTTTATTTTGCCCATTGGCCACAGGGGCAACAATATTGTATTTTTGATGCCAGAATGCAGCTTTCATGCATTAGCTCTAAAATGACAATATGCTTTAGCCTCTCAGTGCTTAGATCTGCTTCATTTGGAAATCTTTTAAGTAGTAATAATAATAATGTTTTGAGGAAATTGAGTGGAACACTAAATTATTCTCTGAAACCTAAGTTCAAACTGTGCAAGGCTAAGGGAGCTGAAAATCAATGCACTTTTAAAGTCATTAGAGATCACAAGTGAAATAAGTCTGTGTTGCTTTAGCTAAGCTTTTAGTGTGCCATGGTATTATTACAAAATCAGCCTGAATCTGCATTAATTTCACAGTCTTTTTCTTTAAGATGCCCAAGGGTGCATGAAGAATAAAATGTAAATCTCAGGAGGCAATGTTTTTATTAGCCAAAAGGGCAGTGAGTCATGCACTGAAAACGTTGACCTGCACCATGCCCAGTGTAGGTATGGCTGACAATAGTAAAAAGGTGGAAAAATAGCCCAGGCATTAGCCTACTGGCTTTTCATTATGATTTTAAAGGCTGAAGAGGGGGAAAAAAAAAGTGATTTTTTTCAGTTATTCATGCAAATAGCTTCAGAATTGTTCAAGCTGGCAGTAGCTTTCACAGATCAAAGAATTATACTTTTACCTAGAACTCAGAGAGACAAATACCATAAGGATTTTTATTTTTAAAATATAACTTTCTTAAATGTTGAGATTCCACCTACATTACTGAGTTTTCTCTGAGTCTTTTCACAAATAGTCACAGGATACACAGTGGAGTTTTGCTCATTCTTATTTGTATGATCCTTCTTGGTGCATCACAGTAATTTGTGATGTTATGGACCCCTTTATTAAATTCTCAGTTCAGCTGTCAGTGATGCCAACATTTATTCACTATCCACAGTTTACCTACACAAAAGCCAGAGCAAGCAATTGTTAATGCATGGTCTGAATAGATTTAACTATGCAATCCAAAGGCTACATAAAAGCCTTATTTTATTTCAAACCCTGTGGCTAAAGAACAAAAACAGTGACAAAACAGAACAAACAAAAAAAAAAAAAAGGAAAACAAAGCAAAACAAACAAAAAAAAATAAACAGAAACCCTTCTTGTCACCCATCCCCACCTAATTTTTTTTCTTTCATCTATGGTCAGATTAGCAAGTCAGCACTGTCAATAAATAAACTAGAGAAGTTGTTTATTTTTATGTACTACTGAGAACAGTGTCGTCTTGTGGCCGTTCTCGTAGACTGTGTTGGTTTAACAAGCGTCCAACCCTTTTGTCTTGTTGTTTTTTGTCTTTCCTGCTCCCTGTCCCCTTGTTCCCACAGGCTGTGCGTTTGTCACATTTTCTACAAGGGCAATGGCACAGAATGCAATCAAAGCCATGCACCAGTCTCAGACCATGGAGGTACAGTACTGTATCATTTGCCCTTTCTTTGTTTTCTTTGTGCAAATGATTGCGAATGGTAAAGCCATGCTCTCCTGGATCAGATCAGACACATGACAATCACAGATTTAAATTTTTTATCAGCTCACTCTACCTGTCTTTGTGAAGCTTTATTTTTCTCCATCACCTGAAAGAGCACAATAAGGCTGCTGTGTGGTATCCAAACACGGCTCTCAATCCTGTTTTCAGTGGCATTCTGCAGAAAATAAAAATACTGTGAATACCACTCCTCAGTTGTACTCAGAATATCTCTGATGAGTAAATTACCTCTATTTTTAACACACGTTCCCCCAAAGAAAAATCTTAGTTTCTTTTAAATAGATTTCTAAGTGTTGTGGTTTGCACTGCTCTGAGAAAAAGCTCAAGAGATTTAACATGACCACACTGAGTTACTAGTGCATGTGTTTTTCTGCAAATAGAATCTCTTTTTAAGTTAATATTATTTCGCCTTCTTCATGTAGCCAATAAAAATGCTAATGATGACAGAGCATATTGGAGTGTGGCACTTCCTGCAGAGCACCATCGTGGCTGGCCCCTCACAAGCAACACTCTTTATTCCCTTCCAAACTGCCTCTATGGCCTCGGATTTTATCATGATGAGCAACTCAAAACTTCAAACTGGTTCACTTAATGTGACTTTAGCTGCTGGCTAATGATCTGGTCATTGGAGTGGTTATCGAATGCCACAGCTTGTCTGGCAATCTCAAAACTTTTTTCAGTCTGTGATTTTTGTCATGGTCTTTCAGAACTTTGCACAAAAAACCGCACAAGTATGAAATCTTTACTTACTCTGGATCTTCTAGCTTATCATTGGAGAGTGCATGTTATACTGTATTATGTATACTGTATCTTCGTGTAGTGATGATTTTTCTCAGAGGTGGCATTGATGTTATGTGCACTTGTTTCTTTTTTTTTTTTTTCTTTTTATTATTATTTCTTTTTCCACCAGGACCTTTCAACTTTTTATTTTTTTTTTCTCTCAGTGATTTTCCTTTGCAATGCTCTAGTCTCCCAAAGCATGCTGGGTGCTAAACAATCATTATTGCGTCATGTCGTTGAGCTGCTTTGTGTAACAAGCCAAGGGGGGACACCAGGGGTGGGAGGGTGGACAGAGGACAAGGAGGAGGAGAAGATAAAATTCAAGCCAGTGCATGAAAATGTCACTAACTGTTTCCTGTATAGTACAAGTGATGATATCAGCATTGCAAAGCTATTGTCTTTCCAAACATCACGTTTAAATTTGGTTGAGCTTCTTTTATAATCAATGTGTTTTCTTTTCAGTGCAATGCATTTTTAGACCCTGGGTATACAGTTTTAGTTGAGAATCTGCCAATGAGATGAGAATAAATGAAATTATCTTTACTAGAAAGCTGCTGTTTTACAGTCTATGCAGTCTGACAGTATATTGTGAAAAAACTGCCACTTTGAGTCTCTGGAATAATACCTGTAGTAATTTGTCTGCCGTGCACTGCTCCATTAATTTAGATCTATATGTTTTGCTGGGTTTGATTCCAAGTAAAAAGAAAATGTTTATTGGTAATATTGTGTTTTACCTATATTTTCCATGTGTTTTAATATATTTTTCCATCTAGCCAAATGAATTTTACACAGCTCTACTTCTGAAGACAGTAAAATAAAGACATAACAGACAAATTCTCCCACTCCTCCGTTGGATGCAGCACTCCATAGGGGGCTGCATTTTGACAGGATACTCTTAATGAGATTAGTTCTGTAGAATAGTTACTCTTGCATCAAAATCCTTCTCAACACCTGTAGAGACATCATCAATGAGATCCCCAAATTGGCAAGGCAGTTCCAAATATTCTGCCCTTTGAACATCTGGGTCTTTCTGTCAGCTGAGCTTAGGCTGAGCCCCTGCTTGGAAAGAAGCTGTGCACCCTCCCTCTCCGTGGAGGAGGGACTCAACCTCACAACAGAAACATGTGAAGGCAGCACCAGCTGTCGGGAAGAAAATGGCACTGAATGGCATGGAAATATGAAACCATTGAATGAGGAAGGGAGATGCACCTTGTGTGTGTGCTGGAAGCTTCCCCTCAAGCTAGAAAATAGAAGTGCATCAAATAGGAATCACCCTGTAGGCAAAAAAAAAATTTGCTCACTTTTGCCAATACTCTTCTAGTGAAAAGTTAAATTGGGTCGACTAGTGTTACATGTCAACCCTCAGCCTGAAACAGTCATCCTTGGACACTTTGGTTTCATGTTCTTTTGCAAACAAAAGTGGGCTTAGGGGAAGATGTGTAGTACACAATTGCATTTCAACCCAATTACTACAGACTTTTTTTTCCTTTTTTATTATTTTCAGTTCTTTAGCATGCATCATTGACCAAAATGAATTTTCAAAGAGGGCTAAGAAAGAACAATAGGGTTGTTAAGTCCAGATGAACATGTCTCATAGAATAATGCATTCTCTTACTGCTCTTTCCACCTGACTTACTGACCTGGTTAAATCAACTGATTTTTAAAATATAATTGCTGCTTTACAGTGTTTGCTCTTCTCTTTCTTTTCTATAGAGTATTTTTTGTTTGTTTGTTTGTTTAAGTCATTCAAATGCAGCACCAGTAGAAGACACTAATTTGTTATCATGGAGTAAATTTGATACAACAATAACAACCCTTTTCTCATATAGAGCCACTTGCTAGATATAATCTCAGTCTTCAGAATGTTTGCGTTCTTGAAAATGATGAAGTGATGAAATATAGAGCAGACAGTGAAAAAATGAATTATAGATTCATAAATTGCAAAGATATTGTTTTTATACAATTTACTGACATTTAAGCATTCATAAATATGTCAGCTGTAGTGTTGAATGCTGAACTACCGAACTGAAAACTGAAATAACCATATAATATTTCTTCCTTTGATACTCATTTCTATTTCTTTGGAAATATACTTGATTCTCCTGTACATCCAGGCAGAAGGCAGTAAGTTCCAGTTGTTCTTAGCCCAATGTTACCAAACCTCATACAAGGTAGAAACAGCTTGCTTTTTTTTATTAGCAAAACCAGAAAAATATCTCTCACATCCTCTACCCCCTGGCTCCTTTTTCTTTCTTCTTGTTTTCTAAATGATCTTATTTTTAATATTAGTATAAAAATCACTAGAGAGAGGTAATTGTGTAACAAGCCGACTCCTTCATAATCTTTATTTGATTGCTGGAGTGTTATGTATCTCCTTTCTTCCTCACTGAAAAACTGAAAGACATTTTTACAAAGAAACACACAGCAAAGACTTGGAGGTGGAATAATAAACCACAAGCAATGATTTTCTAAGATATCTCTAAAGGAACAGTGTTCATGAGGGATCTTTATATGAGAGATTGTTATTACTATTATTATTATTATTATTATTATTATTATTATTATTATTATTATTATTATTATTATTTCATCATTTCATCTGATAATTGGGAATATTTTTATCACTTGTCCTAGTGTGAGGTTTTTCAGAGAAAAGGTACATGGCTGCTTTTTGTAAGTAATTGAGGACAGGAACTTTTCTGGAGATGTTAACAGTGTTGTGAGAGCAGCCATGGGAAGAGTAGGTGAAGTATAACCCTGCTCTGCATCCCACGCTATACACTTTGGCTAAAGCACTGCTGTGTTTCTTGACTTGAGTCACTTATCACTCCTGCCATTGTGCTCACATTGAAGTTAGACAAGAAATTAGTATAACAAAGCATGGCAAGTGAAGTTATTCATTGGATGCTGTGAAGTTGAAAAGCGGTATGAAATGGATTGACAGTTTTGATGACTCATAAAATGCTTGAATTAATTTGAAGAACTGAATCATTGCAGTATATAGTTTGCTTTCTTGATCTGAAAAAAAAATAAGACTTGAAAGGTTAAAATATGAAACATTTCTTGGCAGGGAAAAAAGCAGAGAGAAATCAACAGAGACATCTTTCATAATCATGTCTTATTGTCTCAGTGACTTTGCCCAGGAATGCCTAATTTGAAGTCCAAGTGAAATTCCAGTTAGCCTCAAGAGTCCATTTGGTCTGTGACCTCCAGCTTCTTGCCAAGGGTCCCTCAGCCATGGGTGAGGAATAGGCTGCAGACCAGACCTCTTAGCTCTTTCTTACAGCTTCCCTATTTCCTAAGGCACCTTACAGCCTTGCCATACCATGTAACAAGAGGCTGATAGAAGCAATAGAAGAAATGGTGGCAATCAGGAATGGGCTGCTATCACCAGAACTAGTCCCTTTTGGTCTGCATCCTGCCCTTTGTTCACATCTCAAGGGTGCCTGGGAGCGGACCGCAGGTGGGTGAATTGACTGGGGGTGCTTGGTGTGAACAGGGCCAGCGCCTCACTGAGCTAAATCTGCTGCTCCCAGTCTCTTCAGGGTGCCCACACCAGCTGCACCGAGCGTGATGGCACAGCCAGACCGTGGTGGCAGGGCAGTGTTGGCTGTGTGGTCCCTGGCAGCACGGAGGTTGGACACCTCTCCCTTTGGCATTCCCTGAAAACAGACTGCAGACAAAGCATCGCGTCCATCTCATCAGCTGTGAAGCTTAATTAAAGAGGACTGGTGCACTTTGCTGTCTCTGGCAGCAATTTTGATAGCTAGAAGGAAAAGAGAGCCTGAGGAAAGGTGCTTTATAAAAAGAGCTGGGGAATCAGGAATTTCTCCATAGCCTCTTTTCCTAAGAACCTGAAAATCTTAGTCCTTGCGGTCCTACACGCGCCGGTCACAAAGAGAGGGTGAACGATCTGGTTGTGGCAGTGGCCCTACAGGACATAGCTGAGCTCACAGGGCAAGGGTGACCTGGTGTGATTTAACCCTTGTGTCTCTCCTGATCTGTCCAACCACAGGGCTGCTCTTCGCCAATCGTGGTGAAGTTTGCTGACACCCAAAAGGACAAGGAGCAGCGGCGTTTGCAGCAGCAGTTGGCTCAGCAGATGCAACAGCTCAATACTGCCACTTGGGGAAACCTCACAGGTCTTGGAGGACTCACACCACAATATCTAGCTGTAAGTTCAATTCAGAGGTAGTGGCTGTACTATACTCTATTTATTTTAGGACCATGGTAAATCAGTTCTACTAAATTCCCTGCAGTAAATTGCTAAATTGTCCAGGATACACAGTGTGTCTTCTTCTGGGTGTGTTTATCTGCAAAACAAATCACAGATTCATAGAAAGGCTTCGGTTGGAAGGGACCTTAAAGATCATCTAGTTCCAACACCTCCACTGTAAATAAAATTTGATTCCATTAGTTTTATTAGGGGTTTTGAATGTTAGAGTCTGTTTTTTATAGCTGGAATAAAATTGAAGTTCTTCCTTAGGGGAGGACAGATAGGCAGCTGAACACTGTAGGGGCCACATGCATATGGTGCAGCCTCTAAACTAAAATGTTTTGGTTCAATCATCAAATTTCCATATTTTCATTTGGAAGTGGCTTTTGCTTTAATGCATGGTCCTGTCAATGCTAAACATGCATGGTTCATATCCCCTCATACAGAAAGTGAATGTGGCCAGGAAAAGCCATACATTTAAATGGTCTTTTCCTTGGTCCATTTCTAAGATGAGAAACAGGTGGCAGCTGCTGTCCCTGCTGGAAAATCTGAAATCCACTGCTATGTGTCTTGGTCTTGGATGGCCAAGAGAGGCTCCCCTTCATCAGAGCTGAGAGGGAGCCTCTGCTTTTTGTGGCTCTGCAGTTGAGAGGTCTGATTGAGGAGCTTTTGGATAATCTGGGGGTTCCTCATGGTTCCAAGTAAGATAGATATAACCTCACAAAGTGCCAGGCCAAGTACAAGGTCCTGACCCTGAATCAGGGCAATCCCAAGCACAAGAGCATGGATCAAGAGCAGCCCTGAAGAGAACTTGGAAGTATTGGTGGATGAGAAGCTTAACACGACCTGTCAATGTTCATTTCCAGCCCAGAAAGCCAACCATGTCCTGGGCTGCATCCCAGCACTGTGGGCAGCAGATCAAGGCAGGGGGTTCTGTCCCTCTGCTCTGCTCTGGTGAGACCCCACCTGCAGTGCTGCATCCAGCTCTGGGGACCCCAGCACAGGAGGGACAGGGACCTGTTAGAGCAAATCCAGAGGAGACCACAAAGCTGGAGCACTTCTGCTATGGAGAGAGGGCTGAAAGAGTTGGGGCTGTTCAGCCTGGAGATCAAAAGCCTCTGGGACCTTAGAGTTTTCCATACCTGAAGGGGTCCTCCAGCAAAGCCAGAGAGGGCCTTTTTACAGGGGCATTTTGTGATGGGACAAGGGGTAGTGGTTTTAAACTGAGAGAGGGCAGGTTTAGATGAGATACTCAGAAGAAATTATTTCCTGTGAGGGTGGTGAGAGAGTGGCACAGGTTATCCAGAGAAGCTGAGACAGCCCCAACCCTGGAAGTGTTCAAGGCTAAGCTGGATGGGGCTTTGAGCAACCCAGTCTAGTGGAAGTTGTCCCTGCCTGTGACAGGGGGGTTGGAAGTGGAGGGTCTTTAAGGTCCCTTACAAACCAAACCTTTCTATGATTCTATGAAATGGATGTGCCCACATATATGTATTGTGTATGTATAAATATATACAAATGATGATTTGTGTGCATACGATGTTTTGGTATGGTTATATAAACAGCAATTTACCCAGCAATTAAATATGTATTTTAGTACTGAGGTTGGCTAATTAATACTGAGACAGGCTAAATTTCTATATATACAAATACCAGTCTAATGAATATCTGTGTGCTTGATTCATAAAGACAATAAAGAAAAAACTGAATTTGCAGGGGTGGGGAAGAATGGACCATGATTGACAGAGATGAGTTATGGTAACTACTAGACTACAGAGGGTTGTAATTAGTCACACTATGTTGGTTTAAATAGATTTAACACCTGGTTGTTAAAAAGAATAAATTGATTAATTGTTTTAAAGCAGCCATGTTATTGAGTTTCCCTTGTGTCTCTGTGTTTCTTAATAGAGATTAGACATTAATATGGATTTACAGCATTGACTCTAGGGATGTTCATTCCAACAGCAGACAGAAGCAAGAGACTATATAAATGTAAAGGAAAGCAGAAAGATTCCAAATGTGAAATTATGGCTCATTTTAGTTTTAGCTTCATTTGTTGCATTACTGTCAGATAGATTGCTGTGTTGTGGTTCATTTGCAGCTCCTGCAGCAAGCAACTTCCTCCAGTAACTTGGGTGCCTTCAGCGGCATTCAGCAAATGGCCGGTGAGTTAAAAACCCTTTCATTTTGCTCCTGCTATGTTTTGTATTCTTAAGCTATTGAATTCTGTACCTCTAATAATCACATTGTCAGGGGGTGGGGGGCGTGTTGTGTATTAAGTGTGGCAGATGTATTGGCAGGGGACAGCTCACGGTTCAGCGTCAATAGAAGCACTTTCACCCCTCTTTCAGGACTGAAATTAAACCCAGTGCTCCCAGGTTGTGCAAACAGTTTGTCTTGCATTAGTCACCTGCCATTTGGCCAAAGTAACCAATTGTAAATTGCAGGAGAGCTCTTAGTCCCCGCAGCCGTATCCTGCCCTATGAAAAGTGTCAGGAAAGCAACAACAGGATTACATTCTAATTTCCAGTGAGATTTCTGTGTCCTGAAAAATCAAATTAATGGCAGCCCTCAAACATTTTAATAATATGTGGTGAGGAAAAATGTTCTGACCTTTTTAATGAAACCCAAGATTACAGGCCTACCTTCAGTATGAATTTTCAGGCTCCTTTTATAATCATGGAAAATTAACTGGGTGCCTTTTTGACTTTGGAACCCTAGTTGGCACAATTACACAACAGAGATTTTATGTAAAAGTATAATCTTCAGTCTGGAGGAAAAAAAAAAAGAAAGAAAGAAAAGGGGGAAAAAAGAATCAAAGTGTGAGCGGATTTGAAAGCCAGCTAGTTGGAGGGTTTCTTAGTAATGAGCTGTGTGCCAGTAGTAACTGATGTGTAGTGATTAGCAAAAGGTCATTCCCACTGTGTGACCTACCATGCTGATATCCTAACTTAACATGATGCTAGAGAAGGCAGCATGTGCAGTAAATCAGAGCACAGATGCACATTATGCCTGCCGTGAGGAACTGTTAAAAAGCTTTTTTTTTTTTCTTGTTAAAGGAGAAAAAAAAGAGAAAATCACAAAACCCCTAAATTGCTACATTAGTTTATTTTAATCATGATCCCACTGAATCAATGAAATACAACATTACGCTTGCTTCATCATCACAAAACAAGGGCTAAAATATTCAGAAGTCTTTATGAGCACCATTTCTCATTCTTTTTTTAATCCTGGTCTTTTGCTGCTTCTGGTTCTGCTTTGAATGAAGCCTGAAATACTTTAACAAGTATATATATACCACACTGTATAGCTATACCCCACAGGTATTCTTTGCTCAATCGTTATATTATGCCATTATTGCAGTGACATCAGAGAATAATGTGAACCTGCTGTCTGACAATATAAATTGGCCTACAGATGACAATATCTCTGAATTATTCTCTCTTCCTCAGACCTGCTGGCAGTGCTTGCTGGTTCTATTATGTTAGACTTGCAATCTAGCATTTTTTCCATCAAAATAATGTATCTTAATATGATAAACAGAACAGAGAGGTTCAGCAACAGTTTTATACTTGGCATTTTTGGAAGTGGTTTTGAGCTCAAAGATTGTGTTTTAATGTTTTCATATTTGATTAGGTCTACAAAATGAAAGAATTGGGACACTGAGGAAAAATAATGTGATATCCATCGCATTATGTGCACCTTAGAAGTTTATGTTGCCTATTTCTCACTGTTAGTGTAGATTCAGCTTTGTTTTCAAGAACTGTGTTGAAACTAAGGACTTTAGTCAAGTATTTCCTTGGATGGGCTTTCAATCCAGGATGTGATTCATTCTCTGAAAATCATATGGTCTTGAGACTAAGGAGAAAGTCATCTTAAGAAATCATAGTGGCACATCATTGTTACTCGAGGGATATACTTTTTTCAACTGCAAATTAGATTGCTAATGCACTCATCTATGGGATAATTTGATGATTGACTGCCTCTCTTGGAAAAAAATGTATTTTATATCTTATATTCATGTTATCAAAACAGCTTAAAGTTTACTCCTTTCCCCAAAACACGTGACTCTTAAATCTTTATGTTCAAGGTAAAATTAGTGCAACTTAGTTGTTCTCCAAGCTACATCTCTACATGAAAGTGCCAAAAACGAAGCACTATTTCATTGTTAGAACTGAGAGTTCGTGTCCTCTCCTTGGGAATCAGGCAGTACTGTGTCATGCAGTGCATCTGGTATTAACAATTTGTATATTATGTTTTGTGAAAGGAATAGAAAGTACTCCTATGTCTGCAGCAAGAGCTTGCATTACCAGCTGAAGCTATCTTTGAACATTTGTGAAGGCCTAGAGTTTTTTAACTTAAGCTGTACAGGTTCATTTCACAAAAAAGAATCTAATATGTAATTCCATATTGCATTTAGTTTGCCTATTAATGTAACATTTCAAAGTGAGGAATAAAATCCAGACACAATTGAGTGAGGTGCTAAAGAAGATCCGTCATTGCAGCTTTCAAGTTCTTTGAACTTTGTGTTTGAGGAGTGCAACTTTTTTATCCTTGAAGTCGATGGGTGTGCTTACCATGTAATTCAGACACTAAAACTTTGATCAAAAGCCACATGAGCCATTGAAATTCCACCCTTACTTCCATGTCAGGGCTCTAGCATCTCTTTTGTGCTTAAATCTTGATGAAGTCACGGTTTGCTATGTTAGGACTTCTGATATAGCTACCCCCGTGAACAAAATTAGGGCCCTTTGGATCTGCAAGTGTTTATTGGTACTGCTGAAGCTTGTGTTGTCTCTGTACAGAACAGAAGGGGAGCAGCACAAACCCCACTGCACATGTGAAGAGTTATTTGCTATGCTCAGTGATATTATTTCTTAAATCAAAGCAATTTTCTTTGCTAGCAGAGCAAAGACACTGCTCTTCAGTGTGCAGTTTTAAATTCCCTTCCCCTAATACCATATCTCAGTCTGGTTAAAGTAGTTCTTATGTTGCAAAAGCAGTGGTTCTTTGATTTTGGTGAAGGGAGTGGGATTTTTAGGTGTTTGTGATTGAAGAGTATTGGAGTTTGCTTGTTTGTGTGTATGTTTGTTTGTTTATTTGTAAGCTGGGAATACAGTCTAAAGAAAAATGGGGATTTTTCTCAAGAACTCTCTAACATACAGACATTAAACACTCAGCACCAGGTCTAAAAGTGAACACTGCTTTTGCTGTAGTAGCCAACTGACCCTGCTATAAATTCAGCATTTTGTGAATTCCAAGCAAATAATGAAACTGGTTTAATGAAAATTTGAAATCCTGAAATTTGAGAGACAAAAAAGCTGTAGCTTGCCATTTTGCTTTCTGAGCTTTAAGGTTCCATGCCTGATTCTGCAGTTTAGTTTTATCTCACTTCTATTGAAAAACGAGATTTTCATGAAATCATTCTACCTCATGAGTTAAGCCAAAGAAAACAATGTAATGTGTTGAGCCTGGTAATAAAGGTGGGAGAGCTGGCAGTGGTGCCTTTGGTATTACAGTAATCCCCTGGTCTTGATTACAGGCACTAATTCTACCTTGCCAAAGTCTGCTTCATTGTCCTGTATAAAACATGCAAGGACATGCATCCTTATGAGTTTATTTCATAGTGAGCACTTCCTCACTTTTCCTCCCCTTCTCTGATATCTTCTAGTGCTAATGCTAATTTAAAGGCAGTGTTTCCTCTCACGTGCCTCTCCAGCCCCAGTGTCTAGCCTGCACTGTGTCTTTAGGGAAGGCTAATAATGTAGATGAATTATATTATGTGATTTGTTTGTCTTACTTTAAAAGACAATGTAAGCTACATTAAACACTAGCAAACTTTCAAGCAAACAAAAAACGCCTCCTTCAAATACATCCAAATTGCATGGGAAGCTTAGTTCAAAGGAGATTGATGTTGCTTGAATGTTTGAATTGAATTTGGCTGGCACTGGAGCAGGTCCTAAAAGCTGCAGTTATTTAAGCCAACCTGCCTGTTTAAGAGCTTGGGAATTGCTATAAAGGCAGTGTAAAGGGAGGTTTACTAGTGCTAGGATGATTGTAGAAAATATTTCAATGTTTTCTGTATTTAAACAATATACAGTCTAGGAAGATTTTCTATAGTCCATTAATGTCAAACGTTTTGGCAGGAGCAAATATTGTTTCATACAGCAATATTTTTTTATATGTGACCATTCAAGTCATAAAAAAAAGTACAGTACTCATAAAAGACACAAAGGGCTCTTAATTTCATTGAATAGACAGTGTATTTTGCTTTTTGAAGTTATACAGGTTGAGAAACCATGAGTTTTTCTTTGTCTTTCAGATCCCTAAGCCATCTGCAGCTGGGACTTTTTATATTTTTCCAATGTATATATTTTTTCCAGTCCTGTCCAAGTTCTCTCACAGTTTGGTTACATTTTGGGTCGAACTTCTGGCACTTTCTGAGCCCTGCTCTATCCATTCCACCCTTCTTCCACTGCCCAAGCCAGATTTCCTCCTGTTGCAGAGTCTGTAGGAGCAGATGGGTGAGAGAAAGTCTGTGAGGTTCTGCTTTCTGAATATTTTCCTCTAATTGTTGGATCGGCTCAGTGGATCTGGAGGGACCAGTTGGAAGCCAGGACCATCTGCACAAAAGCTCTATACTTTTGCATTGGCCAAAGGATCCTTTATATCCTCTGACTCTTGGATGGCTTCATTCCAGCAAAGCCATACAGAAGGAGGATTTCTCCTGCTATGACCTCTTTAGGGATATCATATTAAAAGTAAAGGTCACTGACAAACTGTTTCCAGCTCAAGGGAGATAGCTGTTTCTTAAAGATAACTACCAGTTTTGAAAATGTTGACCTCAGGGACCAAAAAATATTCAGCTTTTGTAATACTAATTCCATTGAAAGTCCTAGTTATTTTAACATATAAAATTAGCTTTTTTTTTTTTTTTTTCCTAGACAAAGCTCAAATACTCTGTTTAGCATTTTTGAAGAGACAGAGTTTACAGGAAGTGAGCCTGTTCACAATCCACACATTGTTCCTTCTAAGAGGAGAAGGAGAGGCACCTTGAGAGGAAAAAACAGTGCTCAGCAGTTAGGAGATATGCTTATTCAGGTGGTAAAAGTGCACAATGTGCAAGTTTGGCCAAGTCTGGGCACAAGATTTGTAGTGTGTGGGC